TCCGGACTCATCTCCAGCACGTTTTCCACCTCGTTCCCCTCTTGTGTCCCCTCCTCTGTCCCCTGACCCGACTCCTCCGTCTCACGTCTGGTCTCGCCGTCCCTCCCGTGCTTGACCTGTCTCCCCGATCTCGCGCTCTCACCCTATGTTGCTTCGTTCCCACGCGCCTCATCCTCCCCTTCTCCCATCACCCCCTCCGTCCTCCCTTGTTGTTGCTCCCCCCCCTCTACCTGCATGCCGCTCGTCCTGTTGTTCCTCGGGTCCTTGCCTCTCTCGTTACCGACCCGTCTGTTCCGGTTTCGAGCCTTGACGCCCTTGTCGTTGCGGTCGTTGACTTCGCCTCTACCCGCCGCCTTGACTACGCCACCGCTCTGGTCTCTGACCCTGCCTGTCCTCCGTCTGTCGGGGGTGCTCCTACCCTCGGCAGTGACGTCCTGGAGGACCGCCAGTACGAGCTTGCTTTCCTGTCCGAGGCTGCTCCCCATCTCTGCTCTGCTTCTAGTCCCTGAGGGTGACCCCGACGCTTTCGACATCACAACCCCTCACACTTACGCTGAGGCGGTCTCGGGACCCTGGGCCTCTCCGTGGATAGCTGCAATGGAGCAGGAGATGGCATCTAGGAGGTCCACCGGCACCTACGTCGACGCAGTTCCCCCACCTGGGGTGAACGTAGCCGATGGCCGCTGGCTCTTCAACGTGAAGCACCCTCCTGGAGAGCCGCCTGTGTTCAAGGCGCGCTACGTGGCTAGAGGTTTCAGTCAGCGTGAGGGGGTGGACTTCTTCCAGACCTTCGCTCCGACCCGGAAGATGACTACTTTTCGGGTGCTGCTACACGTAGCAGCTCAGCGTGACTACGAGCTTCAATCCCTCGACTTCTCCACTGCGTTTCTTCAGGGTAGTCTACATGAGCAGGTCTAACTGCGCCGCCCTCAGGGCTTCACTGGTACCTTCCCTCCTGGGACCCAATGGCTCCTGCGGCGCCCCGTCTACGGCTTGCGGCAGGCTCCCCGTGAGTGGCACGACATGCTGCGTGCTACGCTTGTTGACCTGCAGTTCTTTCCGTCCTCTGCAGACCCCTCGCTCTTCGTCCGTGCTGGCCAGACCCCGTTCTACATCCTTGTTTACGTAGACGACTTGGTCTTCACCACAGCAGACAGGGACGCACTGGCCTCCGTGAAGGCAGAGCTGCTGAAGAGACACACTTGCACTGACCTTGGAGAACTGCGCCACTATCTTGGCTTGCAGATCTCCAGGGACAGAGCAGCGCGCACCATCACTTTGACTCAGTCACATTTGTTGCGCTAGGTCCTTCAGAGGTTCGGCCTTCAGTTCTCCTCCGCACAGCCTACTCCTCTGCCTCTAGACCACAAGCTCTCCGCTCCAGTTCCTGAGGAGTCAGCAGAGCCCTGTGGTCCTTACGCAGAGCTGGTGGGTTGCCTCATGTACCTGATGACTTGCACTCGCCCAGATCTCGCATACCCTCTCAGTATCCTGGCTTGCTTTGTGGCTACAGGCAGACACCGACCTCAGCACTAGTCTGCCGCTAAGAGGGTTTTGCGTTATCTTGCAAGTACATCGGGCATGGGGTTAGTGCTAGGAGGACGCAGGCTAGTGGTCCTTACTGGACACACAGACGCTTCTTGGGCAGACGACGCCGAGACCCTCAGGTCCTCGCAGGACTACTGCTTCAGCCTTGGTTCACGTGCCGTCTTGTGGAGAGCTACCCGCTCATCGTCTATTGCCCAGTCCAGCTGTGAGGCCGAGATCTACGCTGGTGCCATGGCGGCACAGGTTCTCCGCTGGCTGACCTTCTTGCTCACAGACTTAGGTGAGCGGCCTAGCTCTGCCCTGGTCCTGTCCGCTGACAACAGGGCCATGATCCTCCTGTGTCAGGAGCCTCAACTCGAGGGCAGAGCGAAGCACATCCAGCTACGGTACTTCCTCCTGCGTGAGCTCCAGCAGCGCCGCCAGGCGCGCGTAGTACACTTGGCCTCCGGTGCCAACACAGCTGATATCTTTACGAAGGCGCTTGCGCCTAAAGATCATCATCGGCACTGTGTACAGTTAGGTCTCGTTCCTGTAGCCTCTCACTTGCTAGGTCCTTTACTTTGTACTGTCCTTTATATATATTTTTTACCCTGACTGGTCTTGTGGCCTCTCCTAGTGGCTGGACTAGTAGTGCCGCCCTGGTCTTGCTCTTTGTCTTGTCTGTACTCCTTTGACTGGTTTTTAGTCCTTTGTCTCAGAGGCTGGACTAGTAGTGCCGCCCTGAGCTGCTTCTTTCCCTGTTAGGCACTATCCCTATATAGTCTAGGGGGTGTGTCAAATGTAACTTAGGTTGTTACTGTAGACTATACTGGATTGTGCGTTAGATGGTAGAACAGCCTAGTCTATATACCCTTGTATTCACACATTCTAGTTCAATTATTCTTTCTGATACCCCGTGCACGAACGTCAGAATGGAATCTCTTTTCACCCCAGCTGACCGCCCATGGAGGTGTGGCAACACTACGAAAAAACAATGCGGGCGACATGGCTAGAGCAACGAACGACTCAGACGACCAATATCTGCGGGCTGCAAGAACGCGCGCCAATCAGAAACAGGTACCATATGCCCCCAAAACAAAACCAGCTCAAGAGTTCCAACCTGTCGTGAAACCATTTGAGGGACGTACGATTACGAGTCTTCCAACAATACATAAGGAAACAGATACAAAGTCGCCGCATCATAAGCTGCTAGTGACGCCCTACGCATTCAACGGTGCGTGCCCGCTCTTAGAGGCTTAAAATCAAGATAACCAGAAACGTACGCCAACCCGTCTCTGCTACAAACGTCGTCAGCTGCATCGGGAAACGCGGTAGCCACAAACACCGGATGTGCGGCCCAACCATAGGCTTCCCGAGCTCGCCTTCTAGCTAGCCATCGCATGCGGCACGCGTGCAGACGAGCTCGGCGCTAAGCTGCAATTTGACCAGGGTGACGTACGGCGCAAAGAAAACGAGGTACCCACGCAAGACGCGGAATCGAGTGACCACGCGCCTCGCACCTCGAGCCACGCACTGTGGGCTCGTTGCTCGCCGCCGACAAAACCTACTCTTGAGATGGCACGGGAGCTCCAGCCTCCACACCCGCCAGCCAGTAAGCACATCCCCCGAGAGGAGGCCAGGAGGAAAGGGAGGGGTGGATACGGCAAAAAGTGCGGGGGTGAGGGGGTTAAACTGAGAGGAGGGCAGGGGGAAAGAGAGAAAAGGGCAGGGGGAAATGGAGAGGAGGGCAGGGGGAAAGGGAGAGAAGGGCAGGGGGAAGGGGAGAGGATGGCAGGGAGAAAGGGAGAGGAGGGCAGGGGGAAAGGGAGAGAAGGGAAGAGGGAAAGGGAGAGCAGGGCAGGGGGAAAGGGAGAAAAGGGCATGGGGAAGGGGAGAGGATGGCAGCGAGAAAGGGGGAGAAGGGCAAGGGGAAAGGGAGAGGATGGCAGGGGAAAAGCGAGAGGAGGGCAGGGGGAAAGGGAGGAGAGGGCAGGGGGAAATGGAGAGGAGGGCAGGGGGAAAGGGAGAGAAGGGCGGGGGGAAAGGGAGAGAAGGGCAGGGGGAAAGAGAGAGAAGGGCAGGGGGAAAGTGAGAGAAGGGCAGGGGGAAAGGGAGAGAAGGGCAGGGGGAAAGTGAGAGAAGGGCAGGGGGAAAGGGAGAGGAGGTCAGGGAGGATGGCAGGGAGAAAGGGAGAGAAGGGCGGGGGGAAAGGGAGAGGATGGCAGGGGAAAAGGGAGAGGAGGGCAGGGGGAAAGTGAGAAGAGGGCAGGGGGAAATGGAGAGGAGGGCAGGGGAAAAGGGAGAAGAGGGCAGGGGGAAAGGGAGAAGAGGGCAGGGGGAAATGGAGAGGAGGGCAGGGGGAAAGGCAAAGGAGGGCAGGGGGAAAGGGAGAGACGGGCAGGGGGGAAGAGAGAGAAGGGCCGGGGGAAAGAGAGAGAAGGGCAGGGGGAAAGGGAGAGAAGGGCAGGGGGAAAGTGAGAGAAGGGCAGGGGGAAATGGAGAGGAGGGCAGGGGGAAGGGAAGAGGATGGCAGGGAGAAAGGGAGACGAGGGGAGGGGAAAAGGGAGAGAAGGGCAGAGGGAAAAGGAGAGCAGGGCAGGGGGAAAGGGAGAAAAGGGCATGGGGAAGGGGAGAGGATGGCAGGGAGAAAGGGAGAGAAGGGCAGGGGGAAAGGGAGCATGGCAGGGGAAAAGGGAGAGGAGGGCAGGGGGAAATGGAGAGGAGGGCACGGGGAAAGTGAGAGAGAGGCAGGGGGAAAGGGAGAGAAGGGCAGGGGGAAAGAGAGAGAAGGGCAGGGGGGGAAAGTGAGAGACGGGCAGGGAAAAGGGGAGAGAAGGGCAGGGGAAAAGGGAGAAGAGGGCAGGGGAAGGGGAGAAGATGGCAGGGAGAAAGGGAGAGGAGGGCAAGGGGAAGAGAGAGAAGGGCAGGGGGAAGGGAAGAGCATGGCAGGGAGAAAGGGAGAGGAGGGCAGGGGTAAAGGGAGAGAAGGGCAGAGGGAAAGGGAGAGCAGGGCAGGGGGAAAGGGAGAAAAGGGCATGGGGAAGGGGAGAGGATGGCAGGGAGAAAGGGAGAGAAGGGCGGGGGGAAAGGGAGAGGATGGCAGGGGAAAAGGTAGAGGAGGGCAGGGGGAAAGGGAGAAGAGGGCAGGGGGAAATGGAGAGGAGGGCAGGGGGAAAGGGAGAGAAGGGCGGGGGAAAAGGGAGAGCATGGCATGGTGAAAGAGAGAGAAAGGCAGGGGGAAATGGAGAAAAGGGCAGGGGGAAAGAGAGACAAGGGCAGGGGGAAAGGGAGAAAAGGGCAGGGGGAAAGAGAGAGAAGGGCAGGGGGAAAGGGAGAGGGGCGGGGGGAAAGGAAGTGAAGGGCAGGGGGAAAGTGAGAGAAGGGCAGGGGGAAAGGGAGAGGATGGCAGGGGATGTTGGTGCAACCCTATGGCTTGCACTCGTCTTGTCGTCCTTGTTTGTGTGTGTGCATGCATGGCATGGAATGAATTGTGAGTCTATGTCATTGCTATCCAGTGCTTGTGTGTGTGTTTGAATGGTGTATCACAATGTGGTTTGTGTCGGTCAAGACATTAGCGAGTTTTTACAACTCACATGTCAAGTCGTCGTTTGTGTGTCGCATGTGTTTTTTCTATTTTGTCGAGTGTGAAGTGTCCATCGTGTCGCAGGTGTGTACAGCAAGCCCCCATCAACTCAAGAAGAATTTATCTTGCAGATCCAAGAACAAGAGCTCAAGATTTCAAGCCCAAGGGACGCGGATGAATATTAAATAGTGAAAATAGTAACGTTACTTCGTGTAGTGTTACATTTCACTTGGTGTAGCCCCTTGGAGGGTTGGTTTCGAGACTCTTCATGGTTGGGGACTCTGTGGTGGTGTACCACCAACCTGGACCTCGGCTCTTGGGGTATGTAGAGGCTGGGAACCATCTCCCTCTCGAACTCTTCTTGCTAAGTTTGTACTCCTAAGAAGATAGTGGCTACTGTACCTCCTCCCAGTCAAACCGCCATAGCGTCGTCAAATCTTCATGGAATTTTATGCTTCAACTTGCTGCTGATAGGCGACAACAACGCGCTCCAGATCCAATTTACAGATCACCGTTTCAGGCACACATCAGATCGGCATCAATATTTGAAGCTGTCTGACGGAATTCTGACTGTGCACAAGTTCTCTCATTTTAGGCACATCTGAGCCTATTGTGACTATAACAGGGGAAAAGGGGGAGGAGGGCAGGGGGAAGGGGAGAGGACAGCAGGGAGAAAGGGAGAGGAGGGAAGGAGGAAAGGGAGAGAAGAGCAGGGGGAAAGGGAGAGCAAGGCAGGGGGAAGGGGAGAGGATGGCAGGGAGAAAGGGAGAGAAGGGGGGGGGGGAAGGGAGAGGATGGCCGAGGAAATGGGAGAGGAGGGCAGGGGGAAAGGGAGAGAAGGGCAGGGGGAAAGAAAGAGAAGGGCAGGGGGAAAGGGAGAAAAGGGCAGGGGGAAAGAGAGAGAAGGGCAGGGGAAAAGGGAGAAGAGGGCAGGGGGAAGGGGAGAGGATGGCAGGGAGAAAGGGAGAGGAGGGCAGGGGGAAAGGGAGAGAAGGGCAGAGGGAAAGGGAGAGCAGGGCAGGGGGAAAGGGAGAAAAGGGCACGGGGAAGGGGAGAGGATGGCAGGGAGAAAGAGAGAGAAGGGCGGGGGAAAAGGGAGAGGAGGGCAGGAGGAAAGGGAGAAGAGGGCAGGAGGAAATGGAGAGGAGGGCAGGGTGAAAGGGAGAGAAGGGCAGGGGGAAAGGGAGAGAAGGGCAGGGGGAAAGAGAGAGAAGGGCAGGGAGAAAGGGAGAGAAGGGCAGGGGGTAAGGGAGAGCAGGGCAGAGGGAAAGGGAGAGCAAGGCAGGGGGAAAGGGAGAAAAGGGCATGGGGAAGGGGAGAGGACGGCAGTGAGAAAGGGAGAGAAGGGCGGGGGGAAAGGGAGAGGATGGCAGGGGAAAAGGGAGAGGAGGGCAGAGGAAAAGGGAGAAGAAGGCAGGGGGAAATGGAGAGGAGGGCAGGGGGAAAGGGAGAGAAGGGCAGGGGGGGAGGGAGAGAAGGGCAGGGGGAAGGAGAGACAAGGGCAGGGGGAAAGTGAGAGAAGGGCAGGGGGAAAGTGAGAGAAGGGCAGGGGGAAAGGAAGAGAAGGGCAGGGGAAAAGGGAGAAGAGGGCAGGGGGAAAGGGAGAAGAGGGCAGGGGGAAATGGAGAGGAGGGCAGGGGGAAAGGAGAGAAGGGCAGGGGGAAAGAGAGAGAAGGGCAGGGGAAAGGGAGAGGGGCGGGGGGAAAGGGAGTGAAGGGCAGGGGGAAAGTGAGAGAAGGGCAGGGGGAAAGGGAGAGAAGGGCAGGGGAAAAGGGGGAGGAGGGCAGGGGGAAGGGGAGAGGATGGCAGGGAGAAAGGGAGAGGAGGGAAGGGGAAAGGGAGAGAAGGGCAGGGGAAAGGGAGAGCAAGGCAGGGGGAAAGGGAGAAAAGGGCAGGGGAAAGGGGAGAGGATGGCAGGGAGAAAGGGAGAGAAGGGCGGGGGGAAAGGGAGAGGATGGCAGGGGAAATGGGAGAGGAGGGCAGGGGGAAAGGGAGAAGAGGGCAGGGAGAAATGGAGAGGAGGCAGGGGGAAAGGGAGAGAAGGGCAGGGGGAAAGGGAGAGAAGGGCAGGGGGAAAGAGAGAGAAGGGCAGGGGGAAAGGGAGAAAAGGGCAGGGGGAAAGGGAGAGAAGGGCAGGGGAAAAGGGAGACTAGGGCAGGGGGAAGGGGAGAGGATGGCAGGGAGAAAGGGAGAGGAGGGCAGGGGGAAAGGGAGAGAAGGGTAGAGGGAAAGGGAAAGCAGGGCAGGGGAAAAGGGAGATAAGGGCATGGGGAAGGGGAGAGGATGGCAGGGGAAAAAAGAGAGAAGGGCAGGGGAAAGGGGAGAAGAGGGCAGGGGGAAATGGAGAGGAGGGTAGGGGGAAAGGGAGAGAAGGGCGGGGGGAGAGGGAGAGAAGGGCAGGGGGAAAGAGAGAGAAAGGCAGGGGGAAAGTGAGAGAAGGGCAGGGGGAAAGGGAGAGAAGGGCAGGGGGAAAGTGAGAGAAGGGCAGGGGGAAATGGAGAGGAGGGCAGGGGGAAGGGAAGAGGATGGCAGGGAGAAAGGGAGAGGAGGGGTGGGGGAAAGGGGGAGAAGGGCAGAGGGAAAAGGAGAGCAGGGCAAGGGGAAAGGGAGAAAAGGGCATGGGGAAGGGGAGAGGATGGCAGGGGGAAATAGAGAGAAGGGCAGGGGGAAAGGGAGTGAAGGGCAGGGGGTAAGGGAGTGCAGGGCAGGGGGAAAGGGAGAGAAGGGGAGGGGGAAAGAGAGAGAAGGGCTGGGGGACAGGGAGAGAAGGGCAGGCGGAAAGAGAGAGAAGGGCAGGGGGAAAGTGAGAGAAGGGCAGGGGGAAAGGGAGAGAAGGGCAGGGGAAAAGGGAGAAGAGGGCAGGGGGAAGGGGAGAGGATGGCAGGGAGAAAGGGAGAGGAGGGCAGGGGGAAAGGGAGAGAAGGGTAGAGGGAAAGGGAGAGCAGGGCATGGGGAAATGGAGAGAAGGGCAGGGGGAATTGAAGAGGATGGCAGGGAGATAGGGAGAGAAGGGCGGGGGAATTGGGAGAGGATGGGAGGGGAAAAGGGAGAGGAGGGCGGGTTTGGAAAGGGAGAAGAGGGCAGGGGTAAATGGAAGGAAGGGCAGGGGGAAAGGGAGAGAAGTGCAGGGGGAAAGGGAGAGAAGGGCAGGGGGAAAGGGAGAAAAGGGCAGGGAGAAAGAGAGAGAAGGGCAGGGGGAAAGGGAGAAAAGGGCAGGGAGAAAGAGAGAGAAGGGCAGGGGGAAAGGGAGAAAAGGGCAGGTTGAAAGATAGAGAAGGGCGGGAGGAAGGGGAGAGAAGGGTAGGGGGAAAGTAAGAGAAGGGCAGGGGGAAAGGGAGAGAAGGGCAGGGGGAAAGGGAGAGAATGGCAGGGGAAAATGGAGAGGAGGGCAGGGGGAAAGGGAGAGCAGGGCAGGGGAAAGGGAGAGAAGGGCAGGGGGAAAGGGAGTGGAGGGCAGGGGGAAAGGGAGAGCAGGGCAGGGGGAAAAGGAGAGGAGGGCAGGGGGAAGGGGAGAGGAAGGCGGGGAGAAAGGGAGAGGAAGGCAGGGGGGAAAGGGAGAGGAGGGCAGGGGGAAAGGGAGAGGAGGGTTTAGGGGGAAAGGGAGAGGAGGGGAGGGGGAAAGATAGAGGAGTGCAGTGGGAAGGGGAGAGGAGGGCAGGGAGAAAGGGAGTGTAGGGCAGGGGGAAAGGCATCGGAGGGCAGGGGGAAAGGAGAGAAGGGCAGGGGGAAAGGGAGAGGAGGGCAGGGGGAAAGGGAGAGCAGGGCAGGGGGAAAGGGAGAGCAGGGCAGAGGGAAAGGGAGAGAAGGGCAGGGGAAAAGGGAGAGGAGGGCAGGGGGAAAGGGAGAGGAGGGCAGGGTGGAGGGGAGAGGATGGCTGGGGGAAAGGGAAAAGGAGGTGTTGTATGGGTTGAGCAGATAGGACGACTGGGTGAAAGGGAGAGGAGGACAGGGGGAAGGAAAGGGGGGAGGACATGCCCCCCTCACCCCTCCCCCTCACCTCCCACTCCCATTGTCCCAAAGCCAGCTGTGGGTATAGAACCCACACATATCAAACTGTGTCCCCTAAGTCTCTCTGGCTCCCTCTTCTCTCTCTGCCCTCTATGCGTGTGTTTCTCCTGCAGTCGCTGCATCCGGGTCAAGACGGGTGTGGAGGCGCACCGGACTCGCCCCAACGGTGCACCATCCACTATGGTGCTGGTCGTCGGATGCCTTTGGGAGGGAATATCCAAAGCAGAAAACTTTGTTAGAGAGTTGGGCAGCAAATTGGTTGGGGCTCTGGAGTGAGAATGAGACCGGTCGTCGGCGACTCACCGTGGAAAACATGATTCGTGTGTGTTGTTGGGGAAACACCATCGAGAGCTGCAATGGAGTACCATTGCAACTGAAGCACCACCGTTTCCGATGTTACGTCACCTACTCGCGATATCTTTAGGTGACCATCGATACGATAGGGTTGAACCGCCTTGGCTGATCTATGTGGTGATCGGATCACTGTACCCAGAGGATAGTGTTGAGGGGTACGAGCACTGTACCCCAGAGGAAGTGGACTATTTTGTGCATCGTTTGTCTGCGGTCAATGATATAAACTTTGCAGCCACAGAGTGGCGGGGTTTGTTATCATCCGCAACTGGCTAGTGGTGCGCAAGTAGGGCAACACTCGAAGAAGCTGTGGCTCGCAATGTTAGTGAAAGCAACAGCCGGAGGCTATATCTAACAATCACTTTGTTATGAATTGTGTGAGGGATACTAGCGTATGCAACCAATTAGAAGGACGGGATGTAGAGTTACATACACTCAAGCCCTGGTTTTCACATCGTATAACACGTTGTGAACAAGCATTCTGTTGTCAACTATGAATTTAGGTATTGTTGGAGAGGGTTCACAGGAAAAGCATCGTGCTGCTGCAGCACGAACAAGTCAGGGTTCACATCACAATGCTCAGGTATAGTATGTAAACGAGGGACACAAGTCTGTCAACTAAGGAAACTCCCCCCAACACCCATCCGGGCATGCAGTCTGGCCCTCCGCACTGGGCTCGCAACCGCATGGTGCACGCCCCCGATCAATCTGTGCCTGCAGGTGGGCATCATTGGTGCACAGCATGCGCAACAACAGGCGGGGGAATAGGGAGAAGCGGGGAGATAAAGGAGGCGAACAACTGCGTACGGCGAACCTCGTAGAATAGAGGGCTCAGGACGCGACCACCCACGACGTACGACGAACGAGCTCCGCCATCACAAAACCATCTCGAGCATTCAGAAAGAAGCGACGTAAAAAAAAAAACACAGCGAGAAATGGCTAAGCCAAATTCTACTTTGGTAGAATAAAAAAAATCTAAGTTGAAGTCCCCAGATGTAACCAAGCCCCTCCAACCCGCCCAACCACACCCCACCCTTCTGAATGTAGGACAAAGCGGAGCTGCAAGACTAGAGCATGGAAGGGGCAGGGGGGGGGGGAAGCAAGAGGGCATGTGAGAGGCTGAAGGAGGAGGTGTTATGCTTGCTTGACTTTGACCTCAAGCCATGGCCAACTTCAGGTGACTAAAAACATATCAACTGTCTTATGGTCTGTTTGAAAACTCTGTTGCCATAAATTTGGTATTATGACCTGTCCGGGCAATTTTTTTGCCCTGCCCAGGCCAGGAAATTTCAGAAACGTACCGGAATCGGGTCCACAACGTTTAGAGTATTTACTTTAGCATAAAAATGCAAGCGACTGTACTAAAAACGTGACTCACTGTCACGCTGTCTCTGGCCGTCCAAGTGTCAAACCGACGCCCTCCCTCCATGTTAACCAAGTGCCATGCCTCGCAGCTGCCTTTCCTCGCATTCCCCTTCCTTTCACACTTTCCACCTACCGTATCGCCAACTTATCTTCCTTTCATAAAATCTTTGGGCTGTATAGTGCGGCACAATAACATCCCTAACTCTCCATATTCCCCCATTCATCTGGGGGGATTGAAAGTTAGAGATAGAGAGAGATGTAGGAACTAGCTACGTGGCAGGTGGGACGTAACCATAGATAGGGGGGAAGTGGGGGAGGTCGAGAGGGAACTGGTAGGAGGTGGATTGGGAAGAGATCAGGGGGGATAGGGGCTGGCCTAACAGAACAAGAGCGGGGATGAGTGGCAATCGAGCGAGCGTGGGGCTCCGATTAACATGCAAGTACCGTACCATATTGTGTCAGCCTTGGAAGCGTCGCGGCTGCTTACGAGGTGGAACAAACGGGTTTCGAACAGAGCAGCGCACTAATCCTGCATGTCAATGGTTGGGAAGAAGATGACAGAAAACACATAAGGGGTTACGAGAAGCGAACAAAGGCCTGGAGGAACAACCAAAAAGAAAAAACAGGGGGGAAGTGCACACACACCCACTGTTAAGCGCGCAAGCCACTACCGGGATTGGGTGGCGGGTCCTCATAGTGCATGTGCAGCCATCCGGCGCTAATCACTGAAAATGTCGTCACACCATTGCCAGTTCATCGGCCCAAGCACACGGCTCCTCTTCCCACGGCGCACGCGTGTTGAACGGTGATGCCTCACAATGTGCCGTAAGACCAGACGCTCCATGGTGTTGTTCCAGTGGATGATAGCGAGAGCAATTCTCACCTCCATGCTAGCGCGGAAACGGATGCGTTTCGGGGCATACTTGCAAATTACGAAGTGGAATGACTCATTCAGCCAGCTGCATGCGCCAAGTACAAAAGGCCGCATCTTCTCCTCACTGCAGTGCAAGTGCAGCCACGCCCTAAACGCCTTGTGTGTCGTGCTGTCAGGCAAATACACGGCACACTCTGGGCCCCACGCATCGGCCACGCATGTGGGCACTGTGCCATGGCGAGCACACCTAGACTAGATACTAGATTCTTCAAACCGTAATCGTGCACGGTGCTCTTGCCTATGCCAAGAACTTTGGCTATTTTCCTAGTCGAATGCCCTTTGCGCAACATGCTAAGGATTCGCGCGCGCTTCTTGTCATCTACCGGCTTCATGGCGATGCGGTCGTAGGTTCGCTTCAGGACTAACTCCTAGACTAGCAGCTGTTGCGTGTGACGATGTGCACACCGAGTGACGGGCGAAAATAGATCTAGTCTGTCGCTCGGTATGAACTGTCCGCATCGACAGTCGAGGAGTAAATCTCAACCCTGCTTTCCGGTTGTGTCACATTCGCGCCAAGCAAGAAACGGTTGAAGCAGAACTCGAAAACCTTGTAACAGGAAGAGAAAAAAATGGTGTTACTATTTTCGAAACAAGTGTTGCATAGCGATATGTTTCAAAGTGCTAAACACCC